CCGCCCTGCTTCTGACCATCGCCGGCCACAACCTGGCCGTTGGGGCCGACGCGGACGCCGCCCGTGCCGTCCTTGCCGTCATTGCCGCCCTTGCTCTGATCTCCCTTGTTGGGGTCGGGTACCACGGCGACAGCCCCGCTGTTGGGTTTCCCCTCCTTAGTGGCTCCGCCGTCCTTGGTGTCGTCTTTGCCTTGGGACATGCCGCCCTTGCTGGGATCCACCGCAACCTGCACACCACCGGGGTTGTTGTCGCCCTCTTTGGTAGCGCCGCCGGTCTTGCTGTCGCCTTTGCCCTTGCTCATGCCACCCTTGCTCGGGTCCGGAACAACGGTGACGCCGCCGGACTGGTTGCCCTCCTTGGTGCCCCCACCGGTCTTGTTGTCGTCCTTGCCCTTGCCCATGCCGCCCTTGTTGGGGTCGGGTGCAACAGTGACGCCGCCCTCGTTGTTGCCCTCCTTAGTCTCGCCGCCAACTGGGCGGTAGCCACCCTTCCCCGCGCCTCCCTTGCTAGGATCCTGGGCGACAGTCATCCCGCCACCAGCAGTCTTGCTGTCCCCCTTGCCTTTGGTCGGGTTGCCCTTGACAGGATCGGGGACGACAGTAACACCCCCGGACTGGTTTCCCTCCTTCGTCCCACCACCACCGGCCTTGCCACCCCCCTTGGCTGGGTCAGCGGCGACGGTCACACCGTCCGAGTTGTCGCCTTCTTTCGTGGCACCGCCACCGGTGTCCCCCTTGCCCTTCGTTGCGCCGCCCTTGTTGGGGTCGGCTGCGACGGAGATCGGACCAGGCTTGGGCTTGCCCTCCTTGGTGGCACCACCGCCGGCCTCGCTGCCCTTGGTCCCTGCTCCCTTGTCGGGGTCGTCGGCAACAGTGACCGAGTTGGGTTTCGGTTTGCCCTCCTTCGTAGCTCCGCCGCCAGCCTGGTTCCCCTTGCCGCCCGTGCCCTTGTCTGGATCAGTGGCAATGTAGACGCCACCGTTGGGCTTCGGCTTGCCGTTGGTGCCGCCCTTTTGGGGATCATCGGCGACATGGACGGCACTGTCGTTTGGCTTGGGTTTTCCCTCTTTGGTGGCGTCCTTACTGGGGTTGGGAGCGACATAGACGGCGCCATCGTCTGGTTTGGGCTTGCCTTCTTTTGTCGCACCGCCGGTCTTGCCGTCTTTGACCGCTGCGCCCTTTCCGCCGTCCGCCACCCTCCCGTCGTCCTTCGACTTGCCGCCAGTCTTGCTCGGGTCAGTAGCCACTTGGACCTGACGTTCGTCTAGAGACTTGGATGGGCCACGGGGAGAAGAGGGGATGGGAACCGCACTTGCCACAAGAGCGCCGAGGATGAGGAGAGGAAGCGGACGCATGGTGGTGCGCCTGTGGCGGGGATTTGGAGTGGGCGGGGGAGGCGATGAGCCCCAGTCGTGTCGTGTATGCTTTGAGTCGGGCTTGTCCCGCGTGTCAGCGTCGGTAGAGAGGGATAAGCGTAATGAAAAGCAGAGAAAGGATAAAATGCGTTGAAGTGTCGTGACAAGTCGTGAAGACGAGAGATGCGGAAAGCGAGAGTGATTGTGCGGTGGCGCAGGATTGATATACATCTGTGCCACACCGGGTGGCGGCGGTGCCTCATACCCTTTAATGGGATCGGGATGTGTATGTGGAATGGTATCTAAAACAACAGTGGAACCGAATAAACTCCGTGGCTCGGCTTCTCGCCATGAGGTCGCGTTCTCGGGTTCCGTCATCTTTACGCGACCCGACGGGGCGGTGCGAATGCAGCGTGTGAGGAGCATGAGGAGGTCCACATCAGTAAAGGGGGCTGAGGCCCAAGCCCTAGCCATCACGTGCAGTACACAACGCCTTGACCCCTTGTGGGTGAAAGTGAGACCGAACTGGTCAGTTTATATCTGTGTGTGGGTTTCTGCCGGCGGCCTACGGTAAAAGTCCGGAAAGTGAGTGAAGGAGGAGGGGTCTGCCCATTCACCTTGCCCATCTCCCCGCAGGTGTTGCAGTGCATGACTCTCGAAATGGAGGGTGGATGGGAAGTGGAGACCGTCTCCTCGCGACTGGGAGACCGATACTAATATTGCGACCTTCACCTCGTTCAGCGCGATTGAGCTTATGTCACAATGAGAGGCAAACTGCGATGCGGTTTTCGTCAAAGTGATAGTGCGTCATAACTTTGGGTGAGCCATGTCCTCTATGTTGCAATAAACGGCAACACTTCCTGGATTGATTGGGCGGTGCTTGGTGCAAGTGTGAAGTGAACTGCGGATGTGGCTGCATCGTGTGGCACTTGTGTATGCCAGATTCGCATTCAACCGATCTGCCACATTCGTCTTTGAATTTGCACCCCCAAACAAGCTCCCTTGATCGCTGTTCCTCTTCCGTGTGTGAAACATCCCGACCTCTCCTGCGTTATCACACGATCACACACTCGCCCCACCTCATTTGCTGGTCGACATCTGGTGATGCACAGTACCAGGTGGTATTGGGAGTAACGTTTCCGAGGGATACAGCCTGCGCATCGCAGTTTCTCCGATTGTGCCGCCCACATTAATTCGCGAGCAACATGCGCATTTGCCTCGTCAGAAGTTAGAACGCGTTCAGCTCGTCTTTGCCATATAGTTGCATGGCTCTGGCCTTGACCGTGATATACGCTCATAATGCACCAGGAGAAAGTAGCGACCCGACAGTACTTCTTCAGTCCAAGCGCCACAGCACTTGGTCAACCCGGCGACGGGCTTCGAGATATCTTCGTCAGATGGGTAGAGTCCCGTCAGATGGGTGGAGGGGGCGCTCCGAGGGGAGAGAGGAGGTGTACAACTCCAAGAGACACCTCAACGGGGACGCTCTTCCAATGTGGTTCATGTGACCAGTGCCCTTATCTTTCGCCGAGATTACTTGGCCCTTCAGCCCCCTTGAGACCATCGGTTTCCCACTGCCACTTGACTACGTTCACCAGTAGCAATCGCCCTTACATGCATCATAAAGCGGTTCGGAATGGCTCTAGCAGCACCGCATACACTTGGCGCTGGCCGCACCCGCTTCCTGCGGAAGTGTGCCTCGCTGTTTGTCCGTCACGTGCTTTGCACCGCGTCTTGCCACCCAACACTACATAAGCTTCGTCTCATAGTTCTTCCCATCCTTTTCCCCAAGTTTACCATGACATACGAACCCCTCCAGGATTGTGAGGGGACCTCCCTCCCGCCGCAGACCCGACTTGCCCGCTTCACGGCGTCCCTGGCGTCGATGCGCGACACAGGCGCACGCTTCCTCGGCCGACTATTGACATTCTGTTTGGACTACTTCGGCGAGATCGTAGGGTTTCTGCTCATTGGTGCGTTCGTATGCTTGTGGGCGTACATTTTTTTTGGCAACATTTGGGCCTTCTTGACATACGACGCCGCGGGGGAGGCGAAGAAGGCCGAGGCGGCATTGGCCGCAAGAAACGCGGCACTCATTAAGCCGATAATGGACAAGCTCGCGGAGCTCGAGAGAGACATCGGGTTGCTGCAACAGGCTGTTGATAAGCTGGACGGACGGAGGCACGAGCCGTAGCAGGATGCAAGAGAGTAAAGTGGCAACTGGGTTGAGATTGACTTCCCATTAAGAAGTTCTCACATTGCAACGGGCTGCTTCTCCTGATGCGTCTCGACTGGAGATGGGAGTCGCTGGAAGTTTGTGTTGACTTGCGCCTACTTCACCTACTTCATGCAGGGTGGCTCTGAGACGGATGGGAAGCTCGCAGCCGTTGTGTGGCGGTGGGAACCTTCAGAGGTGTGGCGGCGGTGCCAAGACCACTCATGCCTCGATTGCTGCGTCTATGGTCTTCCTTTATCACAACTCTCCTCAGCCTGATTTCTCGAATTCCCTGGACTCCCCCCCTCTGTCAGATTGTGGGGCGAGGCTTCACATGTGTCGTGTCTTGCTCATGACTAAGATGAAGAGGTAGTGATCGCGAAGCTGTTGAATAGTGCAACATGCAAATTACAGTATCTAGGATTGCCAGAGGCTCAAAGGAGGCCGTGGCGTGTGATGTAGTCTGTGGTCAGCGCCCCGGCATAATGGTGGCAGCTCACCGCGCGTGACCTCGAATGCGACAAAGGTCGACCCAGCTGCGGGGACCGCACGCACAAGACTTGGCCCGATGCCGCGGAAGAGTGCCTTGCTGCCGTCAGCAAAGTCCATCTATTTCCAGGTTCCTGGCTGCGTGCAGTGGGTCGAGCAAGACATCTCCCCGCCACGCCGCTGTCCGGCTTCACTCACACGCCACCTTCAGCCACAATCGTCTTGAGCTCATGCACAACGTAGCCGCCCGACAGCCAGTGACCCTTCATGGGAGGCTTGTCAGCGAGCTGGATACGCGACTTGGCAATGTCCAGGGGATATGACGCGAGCCAGTACCCGATACCGCCGCACGCGCCCGATGTGAGTAGCGCCCAAACGGGCACGTGCTCGACACCGCCGAACCGCCGGCCCCAGAAACGCTTGACCATCTCGTAGCAGCCGTAGAAGCCCGCGTAGGCGGGCATCTCTTTAATAAAGGTGATCTGGGGTAAGATTGTGCGCCAAACCGCCTCAAACCGTCGCGCCATGCTCACTCCCATGCCCTCTCCACCCCATCCATCGAGGCCCTCTCCTCTCAACCGCATCCTCCGCGCCGTCACTGAGCCATACCGCCTGGCACCTGTCCGGTTTCACCATGTTCACACCCCCACGCCCCTTCACTGTTCGCCCGTGGTCCCCAGCCTCAAGCCTCGCCCCACTCACCCAGTATCCCCGCATGATACCCTGGCGGAACCCGTACTGTCGCCACATGTCCGCGACGACACCGCTGAGCTTCTTGTCCCCTGCCCCGCCATACTGTCCCTGCATGCGGATCTTGAACATCTCCACCGGCGACGCGAGGATGGCGTTGGCCGCGCCCGCCATTGCGCCCGCCAACATGACCTGCGGGATTGACAGGTCCGGGTACGGCGATACGATGCGGCGCGCGGTACCATACGCGGTGAAGAGGAGTGAGTTAACGGCCGCTACGCCCAAGAGAGGCGACATCATGCCTGTGGTCAGCATTCCTGGCTTCCACGCCTGTCGCTCGGCCAGCTAGCCTCGCACTCTCGCACACCGCCCTTATCTCCCTTGCTCTCACCCCGCTCGCTCAAAACTCACCCTTGTAAAGTGCCAGCACACCCTCGTTGCGGACCGTCTGCCGCAAGATATCCCATGTGTTTTTGAACCGTCCCGGAGCGGCCGTCTGCGCGCGCTACCGTCAGACCGACTTGCATAGCCAAACTCACAGTCTTGAGCGTGTCGAGCGGCTGTCCAACAATGACCTGTGCCGCACCGCCAAACGAGCCCGATACGAGCTCAACAGCGTACACGTTGCTGTTGCGCGACGGGGGCTCGGGAAGGGGAAAGTCGTCGGACATAATGAGTGGATAGATGCAAACGCACAGCGCTTCGTACAAACGCGTCTAGTCGCACTCGGCCTGGTTCCGAGCACGACATTTGCGCGGGCGAACAGCCATCAGGCACCGGCATAGGATATCGCCGTGTGAAGTGTAACCCATGCCATTACAGTGGAATAGCGGGATCAATTATGCTCGATTCCAAGTGAAAGCAATGAGCAATATGATCGTCGCAATCTCAGAACACCCTCTCCATCAACATGCAAGGTGAGCTTAGGCATGCGGAAAAGGCATTGCCGAGCTCACTCCAGCCTTAGCCAACTACGCCGACGACTCGCCGTCACCGCCCGGCCCATCCGTAAGTCTACCCCGCAAGCCGAGAACATAGGGTCACACCATCCCCCACTTCGACGTCTGCGGCACCCTGCGCATCTGGACATCTGCAATAGCGACCGCGCGAGTCTCCCGGCCCAGGTAAGACAATCGTCCGACGCAGCTGACGACAGTACGCCCGCGTAAGCGTTTCCGCCTGCCACGGCGCACGCCAACGCCGTCCCCGCCTCGCGACTCGATCCCCGAAGAGGCTGAGACGGGTGAGGCGGCACCTTCGGAGCGGGTGAGCCGCGCCCCGTCGACGGCGCGCCCGCCGTCTGAGGATCCGTTCGAGGGAATGGACGACGACGAGATCTTTCGCCTTGCCACGCGTCCACCCGGTGATGAGAGCGACTGGGGCCTGCCACCTGAGGTCGACGGCGCCGCCGATCCACGGCTGCAGGTGCGCTGATCGGCGCCGTACGCTAATGACAGGGCAAGGTGACTCAGTTCCTCCGCCTCAAGCAGCAGGGGCAGCACATCAACACGAGTCTGATGCAAAGCTCCAGCTTTGCCAATCCCACGATCTACGCCAAACTCGTGCGTCTGCGCGGGCCCGCAGCATGACGGCGGAACTGACGTCAGGTCGAGTTCGTTGATATTGATGAGCGGGCCACCGCTGTACCTGGCGGTGGGTGGATCACCCGGCGGGGCCTTGAGGCCGAGGTGTCTCGGTATGGGCCGAAGGCATTGCAGGCGCAACAAAATGAGATGGCAGAGGCTGCGAAGCGCGCTCAGGAGGGACGAAGGCGGGAAATTGCGTTCACATCGTCCGGTAGTGGACGTGAGCGCGAGCGCGAGAGGGACAGGGACAGGGATGACCGCAGGCGTGAGAGGGATAGGCGGGATATGGGGGGCTTGCACCGTCCAAGGCATGGATGGGAGGGTGGTTGTCGCGAACGTGATCGAAGGTGAAGTTACAGCCCACATTTTGATGCACGAGATGCTATGTCCAGTAGTAGAAGACGAGGCTGAGTTGACATGTGCTCTGAACGATTGTACTCCCAACTCCTAACAAATCGTGCATCACATCATGACAAGCCTATCCAAGGCACTTCGACACGACGTATGTATCTAGATGGTGCGGGCAGCGCCGCTGGCGCCGCTTCACCGCTGGGGTATGTGCACAAACGCATTGTCCGTTATATGCTATCGTTTCTATGGAGCATGCAGAGAATGCGTGAGGGGTGAATGTTGCCCCGGCAGTCGTTGCTCGTGAGGGGAAAGCTGAGGTCGTGAAATGAATGCCACTAGGGCGAGGGCAGGGACGGGAGCGAGAACGGCTTAGATCGAGCCGTTGAAAGGAGCGCCCTTGGGCGCCCAGTTGAGCGCGACCTTGAAGATAACGGGCACGACAATCATAGCGATGAAGATTGCCTGGATGAGGAAGTACACGATGGTATCTGCCGTTAGAACGGGGTCTCGCATACGAGTACTCACACTTGAACACAATCTTGCGGCGCTGCTTGCGCTGACGCAGGGAGTAGATCGGCGGGCGAATTTGCTGGCTAGGCGAGAGCCAGAACAGCATGGTTGCATGTAGCCGGTCGAAGAAGGGAATGAGCATCGGGAAGGTGAGAAGAAGGAGAAGCAGGTGGCAGGTGATGAAGTCCGCCGCATACAAGCCCATCTCAATCGTCTTGACGATGAATTCACGGGCTGGCTGGCTGAGGGCGTGCGAGCCGAGGCCCCGGTTGAACCAGACACCAGTCCACCAGGCGCGGTTGGTCTCGTCGTGCTTGAACTCGCGAGAGAGGAAAACGGCGATGAGGATCTTGAAGATACAACGTTGCACCGCAACAACGGTGACGACGCCGAGTACGGTGCGCGCCGCGTTCCAACGCTCCAGGTACCACAGGAACTCGAAGAACGCGACCATGCCCACAACCGCACCCAGGTGGGCAATGGCTGCCATGGTCGCACCAAACTGAGTGGTGCACGAGTTGATGCACGGGCCGAGGAAGACCGAGACCAGGAAGAGGACGAGCAGCAAGGCCATGTTGAAGACGATTGGGCCAACGGCGACGACCGCAATGCGGAGGAGCGCCGGCACCTGAACAGTGTTGCCCTCGTAAATGTTACCTGGGAACGACTGAACGAACAGGTAGCAGATGACAAAGATGACCGCGAGGGCCAGAGGGCCTAGAATCTCGCCAACGATGATCGCACGCCATGGGGCACGGGGCATGTCGCTAGACAGCTTCTCGGAAGGAAGACCAAGTCGCTTGCGCTTGAAACCAGTGATGCGCGTACGCGACAGACGGCAGTAGCCGACCCACGAGTTGGCGTGGGTGCGCGAGTTACCACGCGACATCCAGCGAAGGAACTCGCGGTAGTCGATGATGAAGTCGGTGTAAGAGAACTGGTGAGGGTTGAAGAGGAACGGCGCAATGCACAGACCAACGACCGTAATCCAGAAGTAGATCAGGTGCGGGACCCAGACCGCAAGGGTGACGTAGAGCAGGAGGACAAGCGTACGCACACCAAGGTAGATGGACGGCCCGGCGAAACGCGAGTAGAGAATCGAGAACGAGATACGGGTGGTCGCAAAGCCACGGCCCGTGGCGATGTAGCGGGCGCCGCCGAAGGTGAGGTCGTTGATGATCGAGTGCATGTAGATTTGTGTCGAGAAGACCTCGAAGACGGGCGACAGTGACATGAAGTGCTTTGCGAGACGGACGATGGCACGACCGGTTCCACGCTCGGTGAGCTCCTGGACGAAGAGGGGCACGAAAGCAATCCAAAACACGATGAGGATCGAGATAATGCAACGCTTGATCCAGCGGAAGACGGGCTGCAGGTTGTAGCATCCGGGAGGAAGCGGGTTCTTGCCGACCTCGTTGTAGGTGCAGACGGCGATGGACTGGTTGAGCGAGCCGAGGAACACAAGAGTGAGCATGAACACCTGGACCGACATCATGACGAGAATGTTGTTGATGTGGAAACCGGGGTGGCCGTAGTAGAACGTGAGGAAGCGGTCCATCGGAAGCTGGGTGCCGAGGTAATAGTACTCGCGGGAGAGCATTTGCTCGCCCATACCAGTGCCGATCTTAGTCTGGAAGTTGAGAATCGTGCCGAAGCCGAGGTCACGGCCCTTGCCGCACTGGTAGTACTCCGAGTGCTTGATGCGCCCGCCGCGACCGAAAGCGTTCATACCAGCGTAGATGTCCTCGTTCAGGTGAAGACCCTTCTGTGCTTTGGAGACACCTCCACGTGTGTTCATGAAGATGGCGTTGAGGAAGTCAGGGTGACCGTAGTGGAGCTTGCCGCCAATGAACGACAGCGAACGAGCTGCGAGGGTACCGAAGGTCTGCTCCTTGCCAGCGGCGATGTCACCAAGAATGCCGATGTTCTCTGAGAAAATGTACTCGCGAGCACCGACGATAGCGACAGGGAACTTCTTGAAGTCCTTGTGACCCTGGGACGCGTACGGCGACTGCTGCGAGACCTGGAACTCCTCAAACTCGCCAAGGACGTTACGAATTTTGAGGCACTCCTCGAGGTAGTTGTCCTGGTTGGCGTCGATGAGCTGGAGGTACTCGCCACGATAGAAGATGATGGCATGGTTCTGGTTGTCCGACTTGCCGTCACCAAGAATGGGGTTACCAGGAAGCTCAATGCGGAACTTGGGGCGACGACGACCGTTAGGCAGGATCTCAGAGTGACCGTCGATGAGTGCCGAAAAGATGCGCGCCTCGCCACCGTCCTTACGGGATGGCTCCTCGTCGAGGTAGGCAATCTGAAGATCCGGGTACGCGCGAAGCAGGAACTCGGCGTTCTCATGCTCCTCCTTGTTGAACTTGGCGTAGCGCTGCATGGACACAACGAACTTGAACTTGCGACGCGCCATTCTCTCGAGCTCGCGCTCAAGGTGGTCGGTGTTGCCGCCGTACATCTGAACGACCTCAGGGTTCTCAACACGGTAGAGGAGCTTGATGGCCTTGGAGTAGTTCATGAAACCCGAAACAGTGCGGTAAAGGGTTTGGGCGCGGAGAGACGCCCAGATACGCGTGCGGAGAGTGTACTCAGGCGCCGCCGACTTGAAACCAACAGTGTAGAAGGGAATGTCGTCGGCGCGCTTGCTGTCGGCCTTCTCATCGCCAGCGAAGGGGTTAGACGGGTTGAACATGTTCGACTCCTCGGCAAGAATCTTGGTGTCTTTGACGAAGTTGTCCCACTCGATCGGGTGAAGCTGCTTGAGGTACTCGAGGAGAGTGACGCGGGTGTTCTGGTCCTCCTCGCGAATAATCTCACGAAGGGAGAGTAGGATCTTCTCCGAGTAGTGGGGAACAAGAACGGTGAAGGTTGGCATCGAGTCAACGGGAAGGGGTTCAGGGAGAGTCGTAGTGAGCGACTGAGCGAAGAATGAGATGCGGCGCTCAGCCTCCGAACCCTTGGGGAAGAACTCCATCTTCGACTTGCTGTCACCCTGCGAGATGAAGAAGGCGGGGGCACGCAGAGTACGCTTGCCGGGCTGGTCCGACGCAACCTGGTGGTACAGGAGTCGCTGGACGTGGTCGATCGAAAGCAGGTGCTCGCGGTACATCGAGATGATGACAGCATTCCAAACCTGAGAGACAAGCACCTTGGGCTTGTACTTTACCTCCATCTCGTTCGTGGCGAGAATCTTGGCATAGATGCGCTTGGGCAGGCGCGAGAAGATGTCGCGCCATGGAGTCCAAATGCTCATGCCGATAGCAAACGAGCGGGCGATCGAGAAGATCGTGTTCCAGATGACGTACCACAGGAAGGTGTCCAGGAAGAAGAGTGTAAGGTCCATGCAGAACATGACCGCCAGTGCAAACTTGGCTTGGTTCATGCAGAGCGCCCGGCCGAAGTACTTGTCGCTGCAGTTCTGAATGATCATGCCAGTCATGACGCCCACAGGGTCACGGAACGACAGAGAAAGGAAGAAGTACGACTCGGTAAACTTGCAGCCAAACACGAGGACCCAGAGGAGAATCGACGAGAGACGGCCGCCAAGAGACAGCGAGGGGTACGAGGCCGTGAAAGTCTGGTTTGCGAGATACTTGCGGTTCTTGCCGGCGACGCGGTCACCGAACATGCGGCCCGAGGGCACAACACCAAAGAGGATGGTGGCAACAACCGAGATGAAGAACTGCACAATGCCGAAGATAAGCGACAGGTTGCCGTCCTGGTTGAAGAAGCCAATGTAGATTGAAGGCGCGAGTGTGAGGAATAGCACGATGGCAAGGAACAGCAACCGGCGAGTCAGGTGGGCCGTGTTGTTCCAGCTGGTGGGGATGTAGCTAAACTCGGCAAGGGTGGCGAGAATCATAATGATGGTGGCGACGGCACCTCCAAGCGCCGTCATCGACCAAGACATCGGCGTCGTGGGTCTTTGCGAGTTCGGACGCGAGTAGATCTTCGGGGCATTGTAGGCAGTGAAGAACCAAAAGACAGAAATGTGAAGGACCCAAATGCGGTTGAAGTTTACCAGAAGGTGGACGAAGGAGCGCTTCTCGAGGTAGGTCTTGAAGAGCACCTTGGTCCAGTCGATTCGGTCGAACTTCAGGAAGCGGTGTGAGGGGGGAAGGTCGACGAGGCGTGTGTTGTCAGTGAGGCGAATACGTCCGATGCCTTCTGGGTACCAGAACAACTGGTTGACGTCGTCGTAACCAATGATCTTGTCGTGGTCACGCTCGCGACGCAGGAACTTGCCATCGACAACCTCGTAGCCCTGGTCACGCAAGAAGTTGTAGAGAGGCTTCACTACGGCGCGAAGGTAGAGTCCTTCGGGCACAGCGTCCATGCGGTTCTGGCACTCTGGCGAGCGGTAGTAGTCGTCCGCGCACTTGAAAATGAAGCACAAGCACTCGGGCATGAAGCGGACCTGAGCTGCTTCGCCCCAGCAGAGCAGGTAGAGTGCGACTTGGCGGAGACGGTCATACTGGCTCATGTTGTTCATGGCAGTGCGCCAGCGGTTTGTGGCCGACTCGAGCGACTTGCCCTGAGCTGAACCCGCAGCCGCGTTTTTGTTCTTGCGCGCAACAGAGCGTACACGAGCCAACCCGGGGTTGTTGACGGCACCAATAGCGTCATCCAGGTCGAGCTGCGCCGCGAAATACCATTTACGATAGTTGGCATGCTCTCCACCGATATAGTCGGCGTGAAGCGTCAGGAGGGCCTGGTTGGGCGACATGCGCGAAGAACGCGAGTCAAGCTGGATCATGAGGAAATCAAAGATGTTGCGGCAGGAGTCCTTCTGGAAACCGAATTTATTCTGGAGGTCGATGAGAACGTCTTCGATCTCCTCCTTGGAGAGAGGAATGTTATGGTCGAGGGACCATCCCGGCTGTGAAATGTTAGATCTCTCGATTGAACTGTGCGTGGGAGTGATTGACTTACGTATGGCTCGCGAGTGCGGTGGCCGTCCTTGCTCTCGGTGTACGTGGGCGTGGACGCGCGGGAAGGGTACCCCTGCTGACCGTAATGAGACTGCTCGGAAGCGGGGTAGTTTTGGTCTGCGGAATTAGGCGGCGTCGCGTGCACGAGGAGCATGACTGAAACTTACCACCGTTGCCACTCCAGCCGCTCTCACTGGCCCAGGTGTCGCGGGCCATGCCGCCACCCTCGTATCGGGCGCCCATGTCGGACTCGTTGTCATTGTAGTACGAATACTGACCGCCAGGGCTGGGAACGCCGGGCTGCCCATCGTATGCGAGGGCGGGGGGAGGGGTGTTAAATGGGTCGCCGGCAGGGGCTTGCGAGTATTCGGATGGCTGTTGGCCACCTTGACCATAGGGGTTGGACATGATGCTGCAAGCAATCTGTCAGCACCCAGAATGCGATGAAAAGAGGAAGGAGTCGTGGATAGATCAGAGTGACAAGAAAGGAGCATGAGAGGATGGTTAGGGCGGAGAACGTGGGAGGGGCTGGGGAGGGCAAGTCGGCGGCTGAGCTGCTTGCGCTGTCATTGCCCGCACACATGACGCTGGAAGGATCGCACAAGCGGCGTCGCTGCGCAGGTGCGCGATGACAACAAGTGTATCGGGCGCAGCCGTGATGCAAGCCACTCCCAAGTACGCGACTGATCCCTGGAGGAAGACGACGCCTTTCACGTGGAGCAGACAGCCGACCTTGTTGTGCCGTTGTTTGACGACGGCGAGGAGATGCATAGAGCCGATGCTGCCGCCGTTCTGCGACCCCAAGTCTGGCAGCATACGCTGGCTCCAACTTTGGTCCAGATGGCGCGTCACACTCAGTGACGTGCCACTGTTGGGCATCCGTCACCCGAAACTGGGAACACCATGGTGAACGGCCTGCCGCTACCACCATAGTGCGAACCTCTTTACCTCCTCCACTGACACTTGCTGAATGAACTTACCTACAATGTCTGTGCCGAGCTTGAAATTACGGCTATGCGCAGAAGTTGGGGCCTCGTCGCCTAAGATGAGTCAAAGTCGACGTAGTGTGAGGCGTTTCAAAAAGCGAGACGTGGCGTGGTGGAGATTGAGAGACAGAAGAGGGGATCAATTGTTCAAGGCAATGTTGTTGCCGGGGTTGAGGGAGGTCGTGATGAAGTGGAGAGTGAAAGTGAGGGAAGAGAATGAGGGAGTGGGGAGAAGAAGGTGGGGGGTGGGGCGAGGGGAGGGGGAGGCGATGGCGAGCGCGAGAGCGTGGTCGCCTGAGAGTTTGTGAGATGAACGATGGAGGACGTGTCGGGAAGTATGCAAGAGAGGAAGAGGGAGGGGATGGGGAGGAGGAGGATTGGAGGAGGAGTCGGGGGGATGTTGCCGACGAGGAAGTGGTGAAGGAGGAGGAGGAAACAGGAAAGGATGATGAGGAGCAAGCAGAGAGGCGATGGGTTGCTACGGTGGCTGCTGTGGTGCAGTGGTGGGGTGGATGCGATGGCCCAAGGCCGTTCTGTCCGCTTGTCGGCTTCACTGTACAGTGGGCGCAGTAATGCTCTTTGGATCTAACAAACGCGCAAGAGAGGCGCGAGAGGAACGGGGGGGGGGGGGAACGGCGCAAGAACCCAGGGTGCGCAACGGGGCTGTGCGGCGCAGGGGGTGGAATATCTCAGGGCGCTGCGAAAAGTAACATGAAGGAGGGGACCGAGGCCGGGAGGGAGAGGCGCGGTGACCTCTTGGACCTCTGGCAGCTGGCCATCTGCTGATCTGCTGCCGTCTCCTGTGCCCTCCTCTGGCCCCCCCCCTCAAACAAATACCCTGATGTACCATTCTAAACCCCCAGACCCTCCTCTCCATCTCTCCACCTCGCCCAAGCCTCATGCGACGCGAGCCTTGGCGTGGTTCCCTTGCATGGCGCGCATGCCCTGCATCTCAGACCCAGCTACTGTACAGTGTCTCAACGGATCAACGTCATTCATTACACACTATTGCAACATGGCTCTAATGGCTCTCCCGCAGTTCTATATCTCTTGATAGTCATCAGCCAAGACATTTTCGCTGAAAATCATTCAGGACCATGTGCCATACGCAAGACGTTCACCTCAGCCCGCTCATTCTGCCCTCCTGATCGCACATATGCACGCCAACGACTGTCGATTCCATACTCTATAGCTCATGTCATGTACAGTGTACGTCTTGTGTTAATGTGAGAAATACCCAGCGCCCTGTTTTCAGGCTTCAGGTGCGACGTGGCTCTGTGGCTGCAGATGGAACTCGACTGCCGCAAACAATTCGAAACTTCGATACTGACGAGCGCGCAGGCCAGGCGCGTCGGACGCGTCTGGGCCTGCACACCCCCTTAGGAGCGAACTGCATTGAATAGGTAGGTAGGGGAAAATGAACCTCCTCATCGGTTCCATTCGGCATCGTCTTGCGTCTCTCGAGCCTCGCCTTGCATTCTAGGATGTAGATGTGTAGAAGCACTTTCAAGGTAAGGAATTCATACAAGCCCGAGGATAATCCGATCTGCGGCACAACTGTGCTGCGTAGGTCGCCAGATCGCCAATCTACCGTCCATCAGTCCGTCTGTGCTCTACTCGCAAGTGGCATCAGTCGACACCGCAGGGCAGCGCCGTTAGGCTTGCAGCGGGGCTAGCGGGTCCGATGCTCCCACCGATTTTAGTGCCACAAGCCACAGCGCTGCTGAGAGGCGCAGTCTGCCAGACAGCTGCACAGCTGATGGCATAAACATGATTTCAATCATGGGCTACTGGACAACCGCAAACAATATCTTGGAACGCGTGATTTATTAAGATAACGTGGACAGACCGCCCAGCATAGGGCCAGGGTCTTGTTTGACTGGGCGTGGACGTCGGGTGATGACCCGTCTTGAAATCCCCTCTTTTGATATGATATATGTACGGCGTTCGGCCCGCGACACGTGTCTGACACATGGCTCAGAAATAAAGGCACGTGACCCCGGGCAAGCTTTCCCACGGCCGCACCCGCCGATCATGCCCAACATCACAACAATGTCGAGTCCACCCTCCACAGTCTGCAGCTATCATCAACCTCAACCACTGCCGCCTTCCCACAAGCGTTTTTGCTAATTATGGCGCTTGCAGAGGCCTTGTCTGTATGGGACCTCCCTACAACATCCTTAGATGGAGCGCGGCGGTATCAGCAAGTAGGCACGGTATGCTCCAGTCGGTGAACCCCGCTGACGCGCAGGCGCAGGACATCGCACGAGCGTACATCTTCCCCCAGGACATCCGCGGCGCAGGCAAGAGCAGTGCGTTGCTCTTTTGACTACAACTGACACACAGAGGTCGACACGAAAGAGGTAGTAGCTGCGTTCACCGTGCTTCGCGCCTCTGGGTGCCTGTACCAGTTGCACATCGACTTCATTGGTGGGGTAGGCAACAGCCATCACTGATCGCAGACGCCGTGGAGACGAACTTTCGCTATGTCCAGGACGACATGGCACGGTACTGGGTTGCCATTGAGGTGGGCCTCCCAACAGTCGGTCGAGCTCACTTCAGCAAACAATTGCCGTTGAAGCACACGACCAGACACAGTCGGTCATGACCGAGCTGTTCTCGAGAATCGCGACGTGGCAGAGAAGATGGGCCAGACCATTGCACATGTTTGAAGAGTGAGTGTCCCTTCCTTTTGGCACTGCGCGTGGTACAAGCTGTCCAGCTCCCTGGATAATCTTGCGTTGTTGTGGCTGAGCCTGCGTCTGCTCTAGGCCGAGTCGCACGAGCTCGACCTGGGGCGTATAGCGCCAGTCACGCGGCCTCGTAACAAGCTTGTTCTTGCTCCCAGGAGCTTCTCCTTCCCAGCATTCTGACTGACACCCAGCGACAGCATCTTGCGGCAGTTCAACTCTCAGTTCCACAGACTACTGTACGCCGCCTTTCCCTCCTCCTTCCAGGACTGCCTTTTCCACTATCTCTCGTACTCCCTCGAGGCCGCTGGCGCCCGTGATGACGATGGCGGTGGCAAGCATACCTACCCTTCACAGCACCTCCTTGGCCTCAACGTCGTGCACAGATACGCGACGACGCTCATGCGCGTAGCGTTCGATGAGATCGAGAGGATTACCTCCGAGGAGGCGGCGGAGGGCCTGACAGAACGACGTTTGACGCGGGCACGGCAACGCGTATCATCTAGTCTAAGTCACTGGATGTCGGCGATATTCCAAGGCAATGAAGCGCTTCTGCGCTCCATCTACTCACGATTTGATTACCATTTGTGTAAATCATTCTTTGACATACGGTGAGTCACAATCCTTCACTCATTCTGATAACAGAACCAACGAGCTCTTTGACATCATCGTTGACTTTCCCGACTCTATGGCAGCGCTCGAAGATCTCAAAGTAAGCGTGTGAACTGCCTCGAGCTGACGACGGAGGACTGCCTGTTCAAAATTGACCAGCGAGATCAGATCGTGGAGAAGTTGTGTGCGGCGTGAGTCCAGTCGCCAGTGGTCCCTGACAGAAGCAATGTCAAGCGTCTCCTCCACCCTGGCGCAGAAACCAAGGATGTTATATCGCAATATATCAGCACGATACGCTGCCTGCGCATCATCGACCCCGTTGGCGTCTTGTTGCACAAGGTTGCAGAACCCATTCGTCGTCACCTGCGCGATCGCCCGGATACAATTCGCTGCATTGTGACATCTCTTATAGAGGGCGAGGAACTACAGGACGAGAATGACCCCTCATCCGTCGCGCCATGGGCCGCTAGCAACGACAACACCGTGGAAGACTTCTCTGACCCCAAGTGGGAACCAGAACCCAACGACGCTGCGCCAGGTACATAGATCACTTAACAACGGCGTCGCTGACATCAAAGAGTTCCGAACCGGTCGCAACTCAGACATTGTCGGCACACTAGTCAGCATTTACGAGACGCGCGAGGCAATTGTCACAGAATTGCAGAACTACCTCGCTCAACGACTGCTGGTCGTTGAGGATTACGATGCAGTGAAGGAGGTGAGCTGGAATTTGTTCCTCCCTGCTGACCGTCTTAGGTCCGTACGATAGAGCTACTAAAGGTTCGCTTTGGCGAGGAAGCCCTGCACGTCTGCGATGTCATGCTCAAGGACATGAGCGATTCGAAGCGCATCAACGACCATATCCACGGGGAGATTCAGGTTAGTCGATTGCCCAACGCCACCCTCGTACAATCGCTGACAACTGCAGACCGTCGTCAACCCTCTGATTATCTCGCGGATGTTTTGGCCCGAAATCGCGCCATCATCTTTGCGCCTCACGCCGAAACTGGTGGCGGCCGAGCAGAGGTTCGAGGCCGCGTTCCACCACTTCAAACCTGATAAACACCTGCGATGGCTGCAAGAACAAGGATCGGCGACAATCACAATTGAGTTGGAGGACAGGACGATTACAGTGGACGTCACCCCATTGCAAGCTGCTGTCGCTGAGCTGTTTGAGTCTCAGGAAACCTGGACTGAGGATGGTCTCGCTAAGAAGCTTGGGGTTGAGGTCGTTCTCGTTCGCGGCGCTTTGGCGGTGTGGGCTGGGCATGGCTTGGTCAAGAATGAGGACGACGGATCATGGCGTGTCCTTGAGGTTCTGGAATCGGGTGGCGATCAACGTGGTGAGTCACCGGCGCCATGATCTTGCTTGCCTCAGTCGGACTCGCTGTTAGGGGCTCAGAATGGCTAACCTCCCAGTGCCTGTCGCCGAGACGCGCTCCGCATTCCAGAATACCGACACGGCGAGTTTCCGGGAGAAGGGTAACATGATACTGGGAGTAAGTGTTTGCCTCATGTCTCACGCTGATATCCTAGTATATCCGCGGCATTCTCGCCGACCTCGGTCCTCAGAGTGTGCCTTCGCTGCACCGCACGCTCTCTCATACCAAGGCGTATGACATGACGATGGCCGAGCTCGCGCATTTGATGGCGGCGGCCAAGGGGGCGGGGCGCTTGACAGAGCGCCGTGATGGCAAGTGGGTTTTACCCGAGTGATGGATAAACGGCAGTTTACTGGGGTTTCTCCAGCAACTGATAGCAGCTGGAGCGGGTTGCCGGCGGAATGGTGAAAGCTGGATTGGTTGGGGTAGAAGTTTATGCATCAGTCGGAGTGACAAAGACAAAGGAGAGAGCGGATGCGTATGGGCGGGCAGAAGTCGCGACAAGGCCTTGGTTGCTTGCTTGCAGGCTGGATTTTGTTTGGTTGGGTGATTTGTGGGAGCCCCACTGATCCACTGACCAGCACGACCAGGGTCTGCATCAGTCGTCATCTCACTCATTCCACTCTCCGACACTCCGCAACCTTCCTGCCCCTCCGACGACCCGATTATCCATCCTCTTTCCTCTCTCCACACATCTCGCACCGGGCTTTAGGCTCGACGGTCGACTTAGCCTCTTGTCCTCGCTGTCATCTCCTCTTCCTCCTCCTCTTCCATCACATCCTCATCGGTTCCCACCGGCATTGCCATCTTCTTGCCCCGCACACTCCTAGCGCCTCCGCCCACCTTCCGCCCCACATATCGGCAGGTGACCGCGCTCCCTTCCTCCCCTACGCCTTGCTCACTCTTCACCTCTTCTCGTTCTCGTACTTGCGTCGCCTGATCACTCACTCACAATGACGTCTCCTATCGACGGCTCGCGCATGCTGCCAACACTGGCAGCTCGCGCCTCCTTCTCCCCTGCGCCCATCACCTCCGCTGCCGCCGTCAAGAACAACGACAGGGAAGAGCGCCGCGCTGGCAGACTCGCGCTGGGTCGCCGCATCTCTGCCGACTTCTCCGCCGAGCCTCTCCGCGCCCCACGCTTGCCCCGCAGCACCGCGCCCCCTGCTCCCTCCTCAGGCGCGGCGTCAGAACGTACGCCCCTTCTCTCGGCTCCATCAACGGGGGTCGTTGCGCCGAGCTATGCCGCGAACGGTGCAAACGGGAATAGAGATAACGACGCCGAGTGCGCGCATGACGCGGTGGCCGCGCGCCGCGCCAGTGCTGCCAGCACCAAGGGCCGCTTCCATGGCCTTCCCGGCATGAATCGGCCCGCGACGGTGTGGAATGAGTTCAACGTCCTCATTGCATCTAGCATCCCGCTGAGCGCGGGGCTTATGCTTGAGAATGCACTCAACACCATCAACATTCTTGTGTGCGGCAGACTCGGCGCATCGGAGCTCGCCGTAGCCGGTAACTCGAGTCTGCTCGTCATGGTTACTGGTAAGTGGATTGTGTGACTCCCTGGAGAGTGGCTGACGCCGTCCTCACCTTCCCCCGCCATTCACGCTCTTGAACACATAGGTTACCCGATCCCGCTTGCCATTGCTGCGGCCTTCACCACTCTTTCGGCTCCCCTGTACGCTCAGCCTGATGCGCGCCATCACATCGGCCATTGGCTCCAGCGCGCCATTCTGCTTTCGCTCGTCTTGTCTTTCCCAGTCATGCTGTTCTGGTGGTTCATTTCGCCTCTCCTCCTTGCTCTCAAGCAGCCACCCGAGCTCGTTGCGGGCATGAAGTGGTTAGTCACCGGCCACTCGAACTCCAGGAACTGAAGAGTCTGACGATCAGGTACCTTCGTGCAGCAACGCTCGTACTCCCAGCCCTGGGCCTCGTCGAGTCTATGAAGTCGTACCTGCAGGTGCAGGGTGGGTTGGCTTGTGACGACGCGACAGCTGACAGCAGGCATCATGACACCGCCTCCACTCATCCTGCTCTGCCTTCTTCCCGTGCACGCTGGTATTGCCATCTACCTGGTCCATTACACCTCCCTCGGCGCACCAGGGGCCGCTCTTGCAACCGCGGCAACACTTTGGATCGCTGGCATCCTCCTCGTCGTTCTTGCGCTCCATACCCGCGCTCGCGAGTGCTGGGACGGCCTTTCGAAGAAGGCTTTCGCGGACCTGAGCACTGTCATCTGGCTTGCGATCCCTGGCGCCCTTGTAGGTGGCTCTATCACCTCCTGAGCTGACTACAGATGTTTGGCTCGGAGCTGTGGGCATTTGAAATCATCGCTCTTCTCGCTGGCCGACTTGGCAAGGTCGCTGTCGCAGCGCAGGCGGTCATCTCAACTTTGGACAACATCGTGGCCATGGTGTAAGATGGAAGCGGCAAACCTAGCTGACATTAGCCCATACGCCATCTCAATCGGCATCGCGAACCGCGTCGGCAACCTTCTTGGGCACGGATCGCGCGGCATCCCGCGCGCGCGCAAGTCTGTGCTTGCTGGTCTGTGCCTCGAGGTGCTGGTGGCGGGCTCGACGGGTCTCGCGGTTTTGATTTTCCGGAATAAGATTGCCGGCATTTTCACGGACGACAAGAAGGTTGCGCGGGAGGCAGCCGAGGCGGCCGTCTTCGTCGCCTCGTACCAAGTCTTTGACGGACTGCAGAATGTTGGGGCGGCGTGCCTTCGCGCTTTCGGTCGCCAGAACATTGGCTCGCTCATCCACTTTGTGGGCTACTACATAATTGGCCTGCCGATCGGCGCTTGGCTTGGGCTTGGTCCTCCTCACTGGGGCCTGAGTGGACTGTGGGCCGGCGCGGCGCTCTCTCTCGCGTGTACTAGCGCCGCCGAGATTGCCTTCGCTGCGACAATCAAGTGGGAGGCCGAGGTCGAGCGTGTGCAGCTTCGCGAGGAGGACATGAGTGATTCGGACGACAGTGAAGACGCGTAAGGATTCTGGTCTGCAATTTTATAGGGATCAGTAGGTCCGCGCACATCTCACAAGTCATAGCACGGCGGAGACGCGTCTCGCCTGTTCACCGTTCACTGTGTTTCTTCGCACAGGCTTACGTCGTGTACACGTATGCAAAGGTGTCGCGTCATCGGCAGAGGCTGGCGAGTGTGGTAGTCATTGAGCGTTCGACTGACCACTTGGTCTCAGATATCGGACCTCTAATAAGCGGCTGAAGCAGTCCCATGCCGTGAGTTTGACCCAGCCCAGAGCCAAAACCCTGAGGGCGCAATGCGCCCATCGAGCACACGGGCCTTCGATGAAGGGGTTTTGTCGATTAGAATAAACAGGAGAACTCATGACAAAGTCAAGAAATCGTCTCGAATTCCAAAAACTACGACACCCGGGATTCCCATGTGGTCCCCCACCATGGTACTAACCGAGCGGTACTGAGCTTGACTTCGCAGATCGGACGGGATGCGGTATTTTCTCAGTCCTATGGCCGTAGATAGTAGAGGGGTTTTTTATCGAGCTATGAGCTGAGTGCACCGGTCTGGACGAACGGGGGCGTGATGGACTGCGCCCCACTTGTGTGTGCGTGGTGAATGGAACGCGCATTGCTGACAGCACTCGGGTGCTCGGTGATTTTACTTAGTCACCGAACTCTCCGAAACGTCGTCCATGACTGACGAGGTTGTTCATGTCCTCGCCAACGACCCGCTGGAGCTCTATACATAGTGCTCAATACAACAACCCCCTCGCTCCGTCCGCGCCTACTTCCCGACACCCGGCAAGTCGGTATAGTCCTCCCCCGGCGGAAAGCGCTTACCATCAGGTCCTCCCGCTCCACTCCGCTCCACTCCGCGCCTCACTCACAACCCAGACATAGTAGTCTTTCATCTTGAGCCCCTCGACCTCGGTCGCGCCGTTGAACGTCATGCGCGCAATAAACGGCACATTGACGAACTGCCCGTCCGCCGCGCGCGTAAAGTCGTTGTCGCCGATCACGTAGGCGACGTCCGGCTGCGGACACCAGATGTGGAACCAGCGGTGCACCTGGTTCGCGCCGCGGTGTTTGAAGCTCCACTCGCGCCCCTTCCGGATCAGGTCGTGTCCCTGCCGCGCGCCAAGCACGTTGAAGGTCGCATCCGCTTCGAACTGCGCCAGGTACGCGTCGTGGTCCGCGGCGTCGGTGATCTTGTAGAAGCGGTCGATCCACGCCGCGATGTGCGGCGGCACGTCCGGGTCGACTTTCATGGCGTGGTGGGAGAGGGTATGGGACTGGGTCTAGGAGAGAAGGGGGGGATATATGTGAGAGATGAGTACAGCAGCGTAAGCTGACGCTGGGGTAATGTTGCGGCATGTGACTTGCCATCTGCCATCTGGAGAAGGCCGAGGAATGCTGACATCCGCCTCGCTGACCTTATCGCGGATGCCGGGTTTCGGGATGCTCAACGGCACCGAGAGGACGGCACCGAGAGGACGGCACCAAGAGGACGGCACCGAGAGGACGGTACCGAGGAGACAGCTGGCACAGGTGGCAACTCCGCACAGCAGGCGCGCATGTCGCCGAGACTCCTCGGGCTGCGTACTACCGAGTGGGAGTATGTAAGGGAGGCGAAGCGGCCGACGACCCCCACCCAGCACGATGGCAAGCCAGGAGCAGGTCGTCGCCCCCGGCGTGCCCGCCTCAGCGGTGTCTCTCATCGACACGTTCTACCGGGTCTCAGACCTGCCCACGGACGACGAGTACATGGCCTGCTTCGCGCCCGACGCCGTGTTCAACATCATGAAGGAGCGGGTGGGGCACGACGAGATCTTGCAGAGCCGCAAGTGGGGCAAGACGACGCGCACGGGCCAGGTGCATCGCTGGAGCCACATTTGGACAACGGGGCCCGACGTGTACTATGTCCTCGGGGACATCGACTTTGACCGCACCGCCGACGGCGCGCAGGTGCGCCGCAACCCGTGGATCGGGCGGTTCGTCACTACGGGCGGGGAGAAGCCGCTCATCAAGGACTACTATGTTTGGGTTGTGAGTGGATGGGAGGAGCGGCCAGAGCAGGCGAGTGGGGGCTAATAGCAGCGCTTTCCCTCCATGCAGGGGGATGTGGCGGACCCGTATGTCATCGACAACCGGACGAGGGTGTAGGCGAATGTGGCGGACCCGTATGTCATCGACAACCGGACGAGGGTGTAGGCGAATGTGGCGGGGGGACGACAAATGGGGTATGTACACTGTATGAGGGTGTACCGTCGACAAGTTGCTATTCGCGCCGAACGCGCACTCTCCTCTCGCCTTTGAGCTACCGTGCAGTTGCCATAATCGTTGTTGCGATGTCAATCTCTGCAGCGTCCTTGCCACCTGCAACTTCATGGGGACCCCGCATCTTATTCAGCCCGCCCCGTTTCTTCGATCTACATGGCGGTGGAGGTCAAACATTTTCGAACCTCCACCTCCCACCACCACTAACCACACAACCATGCCGCTGTACAAGATCACGTCGCGCCGCCTGGCGCGCAAGGAGCGCGAGGAGGAGCTGGGCATTTCGGATCTCCGCGCCGAGATGGGCGTCGTGAGCGACAGCGACGAGAGCGACTCGGATGACTCGGACGATGATGAGGAAGATGAGGACGATGTTGAGGAAGACGATGACGAGGACGCGGAAGGCGAAGGAGACGATTCTGGAAACGAAGACAGCGAGGAGGGATCTGAGGAGCCAAGTGAGTGAATTACTTGGCGGCGCTGATGCCAGGCTCTAAGCGCAAGCGTGCGGACTCGGACTCGGACTCAGACTCTGAAGACGCCGACGAGGGCGCCGACGAGGTCGAGCAGCCCGCCTCGGGCTTCCCCATTCCAGTGGAGGAGATCGCCGAGCAGCCGCTGTACGGGATCGCGGAGACCGACTTCCCCGTGTGCTGCGTCCTCTGTCCCGAGCGGGTAATGAAGAACGCGCACATGGCCGAGGAGCATCTGGGGAGTGCCGTGAGTCTGGTTGCCGAGTCACAAGGAGGTAGCTGATTTCAGGCGCACACGCGCGCACTCAAGCGCTGGGAGCGGCATATTGCCGCGCACCCGCCCGCGCCGGGGGCGGATCCGCGCGAGGTTGTCGATGAGATCATGGAGGCGTTGAAGGGGGAGAAGGCGGGGAAGAAGGCCAGGCGGGAAAAGCGGGCTGCAGAGGCTGCTGCTGGGGAGGAGGAGGCGGAGGAGGCGGATGAGGTGGAAGCTGAAACGGACAAGGCGAAGGGCAAGGAGGCAGCTAAGAAGGAGGGCAAGAGGGGCAAGGAAGGCAAGGCCGAGAGCCAAGGCAGGAACAAGCCTGACGCGCCGAAACTCAACCGCCGCCAGCGCCGCGAGCTCGAGCGTGCGCAGAAGGGCAAGCCCGTGCCTCAGCCGGTGGGGAAGCAGAGTGCGGCTGCCGCGCGGCGGGCGGCGCAGCGCGAGGCGCGTTTGCGGAGGCAGAGCGAGGGCAGCGGGCGCGCCGAGCGACGGGCGGAGGACCAGGCGGCCAAGAAGGACACCAAGGGGGAGAAGCGGGACAAGAAGCGCGCGCGCAAGAGTGTTCCGTAGACTGTTGATGCCACGACTTGTACGCTACAGCCAGTCAGGACATCGACAGACTACTGCATTGCTTATCTATATCAGGTCACGGCTCGGCGTGCGGTCGCTCCGCGCCGCGCCTAGTAGCCCACACTCTTGAGGTAGTCGGCGAGCTTGGTCACGATGAGGTTGGCGTCGCCCGCCGGCGTGCCGTCGTACTGCTGTCAGCGTACTCTGGGAGCAACCCACCTCGGCGACGAGGATGGCCTGGGTCGTGGGGATGATGAACACGCCACGCTCGCCTTTCCGTCCAATGACCTCGTCCGTGTTGGCCTGGATCGTCATGAACTTGAACCCGCCGAGGGTGATGCCGTTGGCTGGGGTCAGCGAGTGGAGGGTGCAGGGTCCGGCCAAGGCTGAGGTAGAGCACGAGCCCGGAGCGAGGGGTTGGTGCGGCTCTGAAAGCGAGCGGATCTGGCTCTCTCAGACCTCACGTGTGCCCCACGCTCTCGTGCTCGCCCCCTCGCTTCGCCTCGTACTCACCACGGACGGAGTCGGGGTCGGTGAACGCCGTGTGGGTGACGAAGTCCTGCTCGGCCTGCGAGAGCTGGTGTGAGCGCTGTGCGACGGCCCGCCGGGGAGGACATCTGACACGACTCGACGCACGTTGTAGCCGGTCGAGGCGGCCCAGACACCGCCCTGCTTGCCGAGAATGGCAGCCTTGGTGATCTTCTGGGTCGCGAGGAGCTGGTCGTCGACGTAGGCTGATGTTGGACGGAGTGGCGCATGAAGTGGCGGGGCGGGCGGGTGCATGTTGCGCCGCGGGCAGAAGTGTCAGCATCGCGTGCGAACAGGTAGGAAGTAAGTGGGGGCGTATGACGGACGCAGCAGGGTCGGTTCCAGTGAAACAGATCAAGTCCGGCGTCGCGTTGCTCAGCGCGCGGCAGCTCTCTAGCCCGGAGCTGTACAGGCGACGGCAAAGTCACGTAGTGGAAGAAGAGGATACTCACACTGCCAGGACATGATTGTAGATTGTATGTAGAGGAGACTGGACAATTGAGGAAGGTGGCCGTGAGCAATGACACGCACGTCAGCCCTGGCAAGTGAAGGCGGCAGACAGGGAGCGGAGGTAAACCGCCGGCCCATGTATCATTCCATAGAATCCTCCCACACGCCCATACGCCCATGCGCCCACACGTCATAGGCCTCCTCCGACATTCTTCTGCCCACGCTGCCCCCGCGGCTCTGCGACCAGAGCCTCGTCGTCCTCCTGTACCCCTATCCGCCGCAGCTGTAACATCTGTAACATCGCACGAATGCATGACCAGGGAGTTCTCATTAGGCTGGCCGCACGTCGCTTGCGCATACCGCGCTGGTCACTGTCCCCACTCCATTGCCATCCCCTGCCAGCCGCCTGGGTGCTAGCGTACGCCTCTGCATCCCTTTACGCTGCCCTCTACAGTAGCTCCTCAGTTCTGCTGCTGCCGAGTGCCATCTGCGTGTGTCAAGTACTCGTCTACTCGTAAACAGCGCGAAGGATGAAGTTGGTCGTGATCGCAGCTGGTGGTTAGCATGCCTTCCCTTTCGCTCCGTCGCGAGGGGTAGCCTCCAAGGCAATGAATCGGACAGGACAGACGTACCAAGCAGGAATACACAGAGGATAGTCTGATGGTCAGCTGAATGCACAAGCGCAAACGTTTTAAGCACTCACAGGACCAAGACGGTCGTCGTACGGCGCTCCAGAGCGTGTCCTAATAGCGCGCGCACGGCGCTGGTACACTGACAACGCGTAAACCATGACACCGACCGCTGCTGATCAGCACAACAATTGCATCCACGTTTTGTCGTCCAGGACGGAACAGCACACTGAGCTGTTGCGGGCTTGCCTGGCCACATCTCGAACACGTACCGATCACAGTGTACATGGCGGCAGAGATGCGTCCGATCTGAAGTCAACGGCTGCATCGGAGGTTGGACAATGTCAGACCACTCACCTTGTCACCGAAGTTAAGGAGGCCCACGGCAAGACCACCAAGAACGACGGCGAAGTGGAGCCATGAGAGGAAGGTACGCCTTGCTGGTCAGTCGACTCCGATGTCATACTGGTAGATAATTACTCGTTGGCAAAGAATACCTTGGGCTCGACGCGAACCGGGAGGGCGATGCGCTGTGTCGGTTGGCCGAGCAGGAGGCCGAGTAAGGAAGGTGGGGGAAAGGGTTTTGGGGGGCGTGGTTCAGAAGTAGAGAGGGGGTGGGTCAAGGCCGGGGAAAGGCGGTAGTTAGCACCAGTGTACACTTGACGAGCTCGGTGCAGCAGCTCACCTTCTTCGCGGTGCGCTGGAGAAGAGGCTGAGTGGACATTGCGTGTGGATGGAAAGTCGGTGATGGTAGGTGGAGGGGGGAGGAGGCCAAACAGCGGTGACGATAACAGGGAGGAGAGAGGAGATCGCTCAGCGACGGGGGGCGGGAAGAGCCAGGCGACAAGTAATGACACGGGGAGGGCGGGATCCGGGGGAGGATTCGAGAAGGAGTCAGCTAATAAAAGATGAGAGCGGACGAGATGGACGATGGCGAGCAAAGATGTGAAAGTGGACAAGAGGATTGAAGGATAGGGATCGGCAGCATCGGCGGCGGAGGGACAAGCCACTTGGGTAATTGGGTGGTCGCTGGTCATGCACGTGCGTCAGTCACAGCCCACTCCATGCCCTCCATGCACTCCATGATCCATCAATTCATCAGGCACGCTTCTTCAGCTGGTACGGACATCAACTTCGAGTCCGTAGCGGAAGCAAAGAGCTAGGCGCACCAATATGTACATTCCGCGATCACCGCCTCGATAGGCGCACCCCACTTTCCGTTGGAAACCGTTGGAACGGTGATTAACATCCAGCTTGTAATGGCCGTATAACGGCGTTGGAGTACTATTAAGGATTGAAACTAGGATCCGAGGATCCGAGGAGCGAGGAAAGTTTCGTTTCCCGCAAATATGACCCTGCGTACCTGAGCGATATCTTGTCTCGGCTCGATCGGCTCTATTTGCAAGCCGCACGGGATGATCGGCACCGAAAGACGCTCTCCCCGATCTCCCGACAACCCAAAATCTCTTTGCTCCTGCCAACGTTACATGTAGCTGGCCAGCTGGAGCGCTGCGAGCTGAACTTGGACAGCAAAGTAAGGTAAACTCCTCGCCTCGGTTGGGAGTCGCGCACTGGTGCCTCTGCGAATACCCTCCCAGTAACCAGCTCCGTAGACGCTTGGGCGCACTTTCCACAAAACTGGGTGTGGACGCGTGATTAGCCTGCCAGCCTGGCAAGCTGGAGCGCTCTTTACCATCCGAGACCCGCGTCGATCCAGGACGCGTCAGTAACACCGGCCCTGCCTGCCGACCTGCCGGGACGATATCACGTATGCATTGCAGCATGACCTCTCGGAGGATACCTGTCATGCGTTCCAGCAGCCATCAAAACCTCTGACAACCTATGCGGTAATGTGCATTACCTCTCCTCTCCCCGCTGTAGCCGCGACAGGGATGAGCCCTATTGGCCCAGTCGTACAGCCGCCCTTTGCCACGTGGTGTGCGGGTTCCTGGTCGCCCATGATCGCTCACGAACGCCCATGGTGTTATGGTGTAGAAATGCAGATCTTAATGCGTTGGTGCTCGATTTGCTTGAGTGCTTGAGTGGAAGGCAGCCAACCTGAGTCAAGGCGATCAGGTAAAATCGGGAGATGGGAGAACAGAGTGGACGGGAGGAGTGCGGCATGGTTGTTGTGACCGGCATTCGTTGGAAGGAGTGGGGCGTGCGACGCAGCGGGTATACAGGGCGGAGCTTGCCTTGCGATAGTAAATGATGGAGTAATACTGTAATGCTATAATCCTTGAATCAAATCGCAGCGGCGGCAGTTGCGCGACATACAACTTGTTCCGGTGGACAGTTGAGGTGACGAGGAACGAGGAGACTCCCTGAGGTAGGATTTACCCTTAACACGAGGATGATGCAGGTCTAGTGCCAAGTCTTGATACCCTGTTCACCTGGCCACCTGATCCCTATTCCCTGTTGCTGTATGTATATCGCGCATCGCACAGCTTGTTGCCCCGCCACGACGCCCCCCCCGCCACCGCAGCTTGAAACTGGGTTATCTCCCAGCTCCTGAGCTCATATCTTTCACTATATCGCGGCCTCGTCTTTGATCTCTGATCTCTAAGATCTAAGAGCCATGAAACTGCTGCTTCATCTTCTTCTGATGTTTCTACCTTTATAGCGCCTCAGCTTTCCACGCACGCTTAGTCGTTCTGAAAGCTCAAAACGTTCAAAACGTCCCACAACGCGCGCCCGAAACACGATCCCTTGAACAAGCTCTCCGCTCCTCCGTCCCACCGCCCCTCCGACATTCCGGCTCCGCTCCTCGTCCCTTTCACTCCCTCGGCGCCTTCGCTCCTCCGCTCCTCTCGGCTCCTCTTGTTCCTCGGCCGCTCCTCCTCCCGCACCCACGCCCTTATAGAGCTGTATCACTCTTCTGGTAAATGGAAGCTTATGGTAATTGAAGAGGTGAGAGCTGGGCGCGTCCCGCACAAGTCACGGACAACCCGCGTAGATCCGCAGAACGCCCTTTGAGCCCCATAGACTGGTTGACCGGGCATTATTATTCAGGTAGGCAACCTGCAGGCCATGCAGGCCATAGATAGACACAGGCTATCCCGTCACGACCCACGGCTACCAACCAGCCCTCGCCCTTTACCGCCTTGGCCCTTGGCAACTAGCTCCTCCTCCTCCTCCTCCTCCTCCTCGTACTCTGTACTACTGCTTACTCCTTCCCACTCTGGCTCAAAGCAAAACAACCGTTTTGCATTCCAACCACACAGCTACCATCATCATAATCCACCTAACCTTTGGATCCTCGCGTCCCAAGGCCACAGTCACAACCCCCTTTCCTTCCTCCTCCTCCTCCTCCTCCTCCTCCTCCTCAAGCTCCTCAACCCCCGCCTTCCGCCTTCCGCCCTCGGCCCCTCCCCTTCACTCCAATCCATCCTCATCCCACTTGCTTCCATCCTTTCTCCAACGATCCAACTTGAACCTTGCTTGCTCTTACAACGTATTCCTCTCAACCTCCCCCTCCTCCGACGATCTCTCTACGTCTCCACCTCTCAGTTCATCCTCAACTCAGCTCGCACCCACCAACTTGCTCTTCGCACCCCACCACCCATCTCACACTTCGCACCCTCCCCACATCGCACATCGTCGCGCTTCACCCAGCCAACGACGGCCTCATATCTCACATCTCCTTCCTAAGCCCCTCTCTCTCTCTCTCTCTCTCTCTCTCTCTCTCTACCTTCCCCACCTCCCCTTTCGCCTCCTTTCCAGCGCCGAGTCATTCAGATTCTGGTCACGACAGCTCTCGACGTCTCGACGCCAACTCGACCTGCTCAATCTCTCTCTCAACGACCGCCCTCCGTCTCTCTCGTCGCGTTGCTACACTTGGTTGGTTACAAGGTATGTGATCTGAGCTACTGGGTCGCCAAGCGTCACCACTCGCCAAACCGATCTGGAGCCGAGCCCGAGCGCAAGCCGACGAGCGTGCTCGGGCCGTCGAATGCCCCCTCATCTGGTTACAGGAAGCGCCAGCGCTCCATCGCGGTGAGAGGGCAAAAGGGCGCGAGGAACGTGGTACGGGGTGCGGGCTGGTGGCCTGGTGGACAGCGCGTGCGCTCGCGCGTGGTTCAGCCTTCCCTCGAAAGCGGGTTGAGCACCATCAGTGGCTGAGAGTGAGCCAAGGCGAGCTGGCCACGCGTGTGGACTGGCTGAACTGTAGCGGCGCACCAGGTGTTGATCCACTGTGCTTCTCCCATCCATCTACCTCATGCTGCGGCGCAGAACACTTGGCACCTCCCTGCCGTCATCCTTGTCCTCGTCATCACGACCTTCGTCCCTCTCTTCACAGAAGCATAGCGCTTACACGGAACAGGAAGTGGAGCCGAATGTTGATATAACGCCCGACAGCGGTCACGTCAACCTCTCGACCACAATCGGCACGTCCACTGGTCCCCCTTCATCCTTCATTACCCCGCCCTCCCTCGCCCTCACAGCTTACCCGGCAACTTTGGACGACCGGCACACGCGCGCAACGCTCGTTGCCCCCACCCCCCTCCCTTTCTCTTGCTTCCTCCCTCTTACAGTCTCCCTTCCTCCTTTCCTCGTCTTCTGGATAGGCCCACGTCTGGCGCGTCATGGCTACTCGACGCGCGCACGCGCGTCCGCAGCGCCCGAACGTTCATTCAACACCCCCATCTCAGCGGCTGCTCAGCTCACATACCTTCACCCTCATAGCCAGCTGGCGTGGACAGCTCCTCATCTGCACCGTCGTGCTCGTTGTTGGCGCTATCTACTTTGTGGTACGCGAACCAATACGCCAGTGGCGCCGTCGCCAGAGGGAACGCATCAGCCGCGCATTCACCGACGAGCTATTGGCCGTTGAGCAATCACAGTCAACGACGTCGATGGAAGATAAGGACCGAGCGGGTCCTAGCACAGGAACGTCGACTGCACTGCTCAAGTCACAGACAGCGCGCGAACGAGGTCGTGAAAAGCGGAAAGAGAAGAAGCGACTCTTGGCGGCAGAGACACCTTCCCCCGGACCCAGCAACAGCGTCGACTCTTTTGACTCGTCGCCTTCACTGCAGCCTGTCACTTGCACACCTTCCCACCCGCTGGAGCGAGTACCTTCAAAGCTCCAAGATGAGGCTCCATCGTCGACTGTGGATGCGAACCCTGCGCCCACAGAACGTACGTCCGTGCCCACTGTCAACCTCGAATCAGCCCCTTCATCGCCAGCAGTGCCTCCCATTTCCCTGCCTCCCGAACCTCCATCACCCTCACCTCAGCCCGCCGCCGTGATTGCGTCACCAGTGTCAATGCAGGCGGAGCTCGATGTCTCGAGCGATGGCGACGATATGTCTGATCAGCCTGTCAGCGACTTGAGCCGACCTTCAGTCAGTAGGACGACAAGCGCGTCCTACTCCATTCTTCCCGAGGACCTCTGTGCCCCCATGTTGGGGACAGGCAAGAAGAAGAAGCGCAAATCCAAAGCGCGCTCCAACGGTATGCTTGCGGAGCTCGCGAGGGGGCCTTCGCAGCCCACTGTGCGCAAGGTTACCGCCTCCTCCGACGATATTGCTTCACCGGGCAGCGGTACGTCGTCTATTGCGCCGCACACGCCGAGACGAAGACGGTTGGCCTCGGGGCTCGGCGGTATCACCATGACTCCTGCGCTGGAGTTGCTCCTGACCAACCATGAGCGAACAATCGATTCGCTTCGTGCTGAGATTGGGCAGTGTAAGGCTGAGGAAAGCAAGGCTCGTGACGACGAGGTTCGCACGCGCGAGGAGCTTCGCCGCTCGAGGGCAACAGAAGATCGCATCCGCGCAGACTACGAGCGTACTCGAAAGGCCCGCGACCGCGCAGAGGCAGATTCAAGGCGCCTTGAGGCAGAGGTACGTAGTCGCATCAATCTGTCACTAACCCGCAGCTCATGCACTTCCGCAATCGCTTCGAGACACTGTCGCATATGTATCAGGCCGTCTGCCACCGTCTGCGCGAACTCGAGTCGCATGGCGCGGATCCTGGACACTCTCCTCAGCCACCGATGCTGCCTTCATTACAACCGTCCCCAGCTTTGCCCTCCATGCCAACTATGGTCACTCCTCACATCGGCTTTCCCTCGCCAATGGCTTCTCCCATGCCACCGCATGCCATGGGTTTTATGCCGCCTTGCCCACATCCGCACATGTACCCGTCACCCATGCAGGCTCACGGGTTTGTCAACTTTGTCCCCTCACCTTCTCCCCAGCGCCGGGTGGACCACAACGGTAACGGCGACCTTCTCGCAGGCCCTCTTACTCCCGGCCACGGACCATCCGCCTCAGGCTCTCAAGCCTCGTCGCAATACCAGTCGGACCTCTCTCTGCACCCCAACGGAACGCCGTCATCATCGGCAACTGCGCTGTCTGAGCTCTCTGCAGCTGAGCTTCGCCGGATCAATATCGCTTCGTCAGTGCTCAAGAAGAAGAGCCGCGTCGCGACAGACCCTTCGGAGAGTGGAGATTCTCAACCGGCAACTACTAGCAAGCCTTCAGAGGTCGACATCGCGGAAGAGAGTATCGAAGGTTTGGGCATTAAGCAGTGCGAGGCAGTGCCGTCGATTTCTGCGTCTGTTGACAGTCCCGGTTCGCCTGCCTCGCTTCGCAAGCCCACTAAACAACGGTCCACCGACTCGATCTCATCTGATGCCTCGTCAGGGCCTCCTGGTCGCTCCCTCCTGATAACACCATCAGACACTGGACCCAAGACGCGCTCACCACACGCTGTCATGTCTCCTGTCGCCGACGGCGACGAATCATTTCTTGCGGATGACTCGTCCGGTGATACACCCTGCCCGCCCTCCAAGGATGACTACTTTGGGGCTGTCAGCGACGAGCAAGACGCATCTCTTGCAAACGGAGACGTCGAGTTTGCGCCCATGTTCGCGAGCTTGGCCCACACGCCAGAGCAGTTGCAAGAGATTGCTCGCATTCAGTCAGCGGCGCTCAAGCGACGAGCGCGGCCTGTTTCTTGAAAGCCAGGAGAGCAACCACGGACTTTGAATAGACATAGAGGCAGTGCCCAGAGAGAGTGCGTCTTGTAGTGGTTGCCGTGAGCACAGTAGAGAGTGGCTTGCAGGGCCTGTAGGCCGCACGCCGCAGGCTGATGAAATCAAATGTTGTCGTCAATACGACTGGATATGATTTATCACGGGAGCGTTACATGATTACCAGCGGTAATGTTGAATGAGTTTGAATGCAGGAAATGTAGTACAGTGTGGGCGACAGGATGTGACTATAACAAGTCTACACGAATAATGGATGTAAAGAATCAAAGAGTAAAAGCATACGCAGGTTATTGGATGATTATGCTATTATGCAGGGTGACAGTTGACAGGAACGACCATGGTGGGGGCCATGGGGCCAACGGAGCGGGCGGGGCGGGCGTCGAGGGCGGGGCGGTGATGGGCGTGATGGGTGGGAAAGGGAAAAGCTGATCCTTGGCACACATGGCACATGGCACAGTGCTGCGCAAGGCGTTGGGCGTACAGGCGTACAGGCGTACGGTGAACGGCCTGTACGGTGAACGGGTGAGCGGGTCAGGTTGACAGACCCTTGTTACACCTCCCCCCTCCCCCCCCCCCAAGCACGCAGGGCGGGAATCGAATTCACACTTTGCAGAGGGGCCGCCTTTGGAGAGGCGCAGAGGCGTGCAAGTGCACAAGTGAGTGAGTACGAGTAGACGACACACTCATCATCTTGATGCATGTACAACTCCTCTCATTCTTTGTTCACAAGTAGTAAACCCAGATGATGAAGATGGACTACATACAGTCAGTAGTAGTAGTAGCCTGACTCGTGGGCTGTGCCGTTGTGTCTAGTATCCCATGATGCAGGCGGCCAAGCGACGCACGCTATACGGGACAATTGAATTCGCATAGCCCAGATCGCCAAGTCGTTAACCTTTCTTTGGGTTCACTCTGAAAACAAACATCCCTTCGGCCCGCTCCCCTGGCCTCGCAAGCTGCAAGCTGCAGGCTGGCCCCGTCGACACATCGACATCTTCTTCTCATCTCATCTTATCCCATCTCATCCTTCTCCTCCTCCTCCTTCTCCTCCTCCTCCTCCTCGGCCTCCTCCCTCTCCCCCTCTTCCCCCACTCCCTCCCATCCGCCTCATCATCTCCGTCTCCACTGCCCCTCT